TTAGATGAGATATATAGAAATAATGAAGTACAATATGAAAGTACGATACATAATCTTCGTCACAACTTAGTACAATATGAAAATAAATTTTGTAAAATTATTCAAGATATCTTTTCTAGATGTCAAGAATATAATAATATTGGTAAGGTTTTTTCACTATTTGTAAAATTAATTTTTAATTCCTAAATTTAAACTCAATGTTTTTTTCGTTAGATTTTAAAATAGTTAATAGTATCCTAGAAGAAAATGGAGTCGAAATAATTTTGGGTCGAAGACGTTACTCAAGTTTTAAGGATGCCGTCGAAGCAACAAATAATTCGAAAAAATTTGTTGAATTAACCAGGACGGAGAAGAAATCGAAGAATCTTATTTACTTCCTCGCTCATATTCTTTTGTTCAAGAAAATACCAGTGAATGTTTCAATAACATTCAAGATGAAATTGGTGAATGTTCCAACTCCAATAACATTGATGTTGAAATCGATGATAAAGAATATTCAAATAATGAAAATAATGATATTGAAATGTTTGATACAGACATGTTTGAATTTTGATTTTGATCTGTCTTTTTTTTAGATAAAATTTTTACTTTAATAAAGCTGTCGTGTTTAAACATACACTAGAAAAATACTTTCTATATAAAGTGGTTTCTTGAGATTGTAAATCAATTCCAGTAATTGATATTCCAATAAATTTATGGTAATCTTAATTCTTGCGCGCTTAAATTTTTTCTCAGGTTTTTACTTGAGGGAAATAATGACCCTATGCGTTGACGATAGTCACGCTAGGGTTATTATCGCGAGGATCACCCAAATTTGTAGGCTTGTGTAATAATTATTGTTAAATATGCATATTGACATAGATTATGGAGCGATAGTGCTTTTTTACTTCGCTTGTATTGTTCGCTTGTTTTCTTTTGCCCGATTACGATCTGGCTTTTTCGTGTTCGACCCACCACACCCCCCACTCGTCATTGCACCCTGCACCTTGCCCCTTTGTCACGAGTAGCAAGTAGGATGCGCCATACCATAGCGTTGGCTCGTGCTTGCTACTTTAGTAAAGTAGAATGCGCCACACCATAGCGTGGGCCCGTACTTTCGATCCTCACTTGTACTTCGTCACGTGACCACCTCACGTGCCATAAATGATGATGATTATAATGCTGGGGCACAATATGAAACGGCAGAAGAAAAGTAGCGAAGTAGGGCACAACTCCCATAATGTATTCTTCATAATGCTTAATAAAGAGATCCGAGCGAGAATAATGTATATTTTTAAAATAGTTTAAGTGCGTTTAGGAGCACGTCGCCGCCGTCAGAAGAAATGACATTTGACCGTAAGTCTAAATGCTTTAGTGTGTGATTTTTACGTAGTGAGCGAGCGATTTTTGTTGCAACATCAGAACGAGCTTATTGAAGCTGAGCATGAGGGTGGCGAATGTTTGATTGATACTGAGGAGATTTATGATTGCTTCTCCACTAAGTTTTCGTTGTATGATAAGTCGAGCTAGTGGATGAAAATTTATCGCATAATTTGAATTGTAAAGAGGATTTGTCGCAGCAGAAGATGAGGACCTTCAATTATTTAAAAAAAAAATCCGATAAACTTGCCCGTATTCATTGTCTCCATTTTGAAACTTCCATGGTTTAGTCAACGGGTGACCCGTGGGTTTACCCACCCGGGCCAGAGATTATGAAAATGACTGATTTTTAGCATTTATGAGAAATGTATTGATGACGACTTCTGATATCAACAGTGGGTGTTTCCATAAGTTAGGTACAATAATTTCGCACCATTGACGATTTACACGTAGCACGAGAATAGATTCTTTGGGTCGTTTTGAAACAGTTCAAATATTTCGCTCAGGCAGTCGCTCGGTCTAAGTAAATTTTTTAAACTTGATTTATGCATAAACTCAGTTTTAACTTTTTTAAAATTGCATATTGAATAGGTTTATAAACTATATTGTCAGTTACAATACACGTGAAAGAATATTTGATAAGTCAACTTGATCATAGAGTGTCCAAGATTCAATTCATTGATTTTTAGTGAATCTCGTTTTATGTAGATGAATTGGCAATATTATTTTTATTGCTTGGATTATTTGTTGGCATTGGAGATACGATAAAGAAGCCAACAAGTTGGATTACTTAGGTCTTCAAATTTTTGATTTTTATTATAATTTTACGTAAAAGCAAAAGAGATTGTCACACATTACGTAAAATAAGTTTTATATAGCAGTTTAAAAATAGGAACGTAAAAACTCTTATCAGAATATAAAGCAAACAGCACTGAATATAATCAACAGTATCAAAATGAAGAACAAACAATTAGCACGAACAATGTCAATTAAGCACAAAAATACGGAAAAGCTGAATAATTTTAGATTTCTTTGACACTTAATAAATTCGTTCATTCTTAATAATTATCACATACATTGTATCAAAAACATATCTAATCATTAATACTTTTAACAATCCACTACAAATTTTTCAAAGCAAAAATAAAAAAAAGAATTAAAATTAATCGAAAGTGAAAAATAAAATTATCAATCAGAACTAAAACTCTTATCAGAATATATTTTCATCATTTAAGAGCAGTTGTAATAAATGTAAGACGGCCGATTCGGCAATCCATCCCACATTTCTTGGAACGGCCATAATCAAATTATGGAACGGCCAATATGGCAATCCATCCCACATCAGGGCAATTCCGCGTACGATTTTCAAAAAAATATGGAAAGATCAAAATAACTTTTCCTCAAAAAAGAAAAAAAAAAACATTAGTAACCGCATAATATATTATATTCAAAGCAATAATCAAATTAAATTCAACTTTCATATTCACGCTTATTCTTCAATAATTTCATGTCGCTTTTCTAAAAAAATATGGAATGACCATAATGAACGGCCTCGCCGAGACACAGTCTCCATTAATTTTTAAAAATAGGCCGGCTCATAAATTATTTGTAAAAAGGTTATAAGTGAATATATGAACAAATAAAAAAAAAATAACATAATTTTAACTTTCCTTGTATTATCGAAAAAAATATTCAACTCCTTGTGTACTATAGCTTTTTTTCGTGAATATATATTTTGGATAATTTATTTCTGTGGTCTTCCCTAAAGACAAGTTAGAAAATTTGCTTAGTTCTGAAAACTTCATTCCAATTAGTTCTTGATAATGTCATAAGGTTGTGTTGGTTCAAAAAACCTGTCTTGGACCAGGCATCTATTTACACACAGGTGAAAGTAGAGTAAGGAAACTCTAAACACAGCTGAAAGTTTCACGACATCAACCGGAATCAACTAGATTTTCACACAAGGAAATCAACCTATCTATTTACACACGGATGAAAGTTGAACAAGGAAACTTTTATCTTTCTAAACATAACTGAAAGTTTCACAACATTAAGGAATCACAAACACGGCTGAAAGTTTCATGATATCAACCGGAATCAACTAGATTTTCACACAAGGAAATCAACCTATCTATTTTACACGGATGAAAGTAGAACAAGGAAACTCATATCTTTCTAAACATGGCTGAAAGTTTCACAAAATTAAGGAATCACAAACAGCTGAAAGTTTCACAACATTAAGGAATCACAAACATGGCTGAAAGTTTCATGACATCAACCGGAATCAACTAGATTTTCAGACAAGAAAATCAACCTATTTATTTACACACGGATGAAAGTAGAACAAGGAAACTCATATCTTTCTAAACATGGCTGAAAGTTTCACAACATTAAGAAATCACAAACACGGCTGAAAGTTTTATGACATCAACCGGAATCAACTAGATTTTCACACAAGGAAATCATACACACAAATGAAAGTAGAACAAGAAAACTCCTATCTTTCTAAACACAGCCGAAAGTTTCACAACATAAGGAATCACAAACACGGCTGAAAGTTTCACGACATCAACCGAATCAACTAGATTTTCACACAAGGAAATCAACTTCTA